AATAACTGCAATCGAAAATAGCATTTTTCTGACTGTAAATCATTGGATATGGTGTAATTTTGTTAAATGATTCTGTGTTGAAAGTATATCTTTAAACAACTGCATTGGGTGTATTAGGGCGGGCCATACTATTATTTTTTTTGTAAATCCGATCAGAGGATTTAATAAGTATTTTGTTGGGTTATTAATGAAAAACACTATCTGTCAATAATCATGTTTATTTGTGAAATTAAAAAATACCACATTACAGCATAGGGAAGAGAAGCGGCAATGTCTGCGCGATGCATGTGTACCTGCTGGCTCACCATAGCCAGCCACTCTGCTCGTCTTCAATTGTCCGATCGTGCATCAAAACAGATGATTGGTACTCACATTCCTATTGTAACACGCTTTCTCCTCCTATCTTCTGGGATCACTGTTCATGTAACAATTCTGACGCTGCAGACACTATCTAAACATGACTTCCGGCTCATTTGGTTTCCTAAGTTGTCCCTGCTAGAACTGCAAAGCCCAGCGGATGACGTGCTTCGTAAAAGTTTACTGTTGTAGCGCAGTATTTCTGGGGATAAGAAGCGCATTTAAAATCTGACGGCGTAAACTTGATATCCTCATTAACATCATTGACAATTGTTAATACTAACAGGTATATAATCTACAGGTTCTGGGTTTTGAAACCTGCTCAAAACACTCGGGTCAATAGCAACTGTATTATCTTTAATAGTATTTATCTTTTTAATTGTAATCTAAACTACCATGTCTGCTGGCCTGAAGTGGCCATGCTCCTGCCTGAAGTTCATCGTAGGCTATCTGTAAGCAATCAAAGAGATTCAGACAGGCATGCTTCAAGCCCGGGTGGGCAGTGTCAGGCATGGTTTTATGTTTCTGGTCTGGGGGTGAGGTTCTCCACCAGGGCCCAGAAGGGATCCACCTCCCTGCCGCACATGCTCTCCACAGCTGAGGTCAGGGGGCATTCCCCACACAAGGCACCTACAAAACAAAACGTTTATCAGGAAACGTAACTTACATCTCTCTCCCCCTTCTTCGCTGCTCTCTCCCTCCCCTCCGGTACACAGCACCGTAAGACGTAGTGTGGATTTGCATTAGGTAACGCGAGATACGGCTGATACTTGCGCATTAGTTTCTGTTATGGATCAGTATCAACAGTCCTGCCAGTAACGTTACTATATTATCAATGCTACTTTAGTTATAGCCTGATATATGATAGCTAACTTTACAATGTTGTGATGTGACGTTAGCTAACATTCTGTAGCTAACGCCGGTCACTCACCAAGATAGCTGCCCAGTTCTCCACTGGTTCTCCTCACACCACAGCTCAATTTCTCTCCGATGGCCGTTATTTCTTCTAATCCTTGGCTGCTCCTGGTCTCTTGGACGCCTAGCAGGCTCATAATTATAAGGTTGTGGTCCGTCATATGCATTTGAATATTCATGTTCTTCTGTCTTCTGTGTCGAAACTAGCATTGGGATCCATGTTTATTAATACGTTACACCGGCCGCTCTCCCCCTTGTGTCCCCCGTGTTACGTCACACGCGGGAGGTCACGTGCCGAGGCTTTTTTATGGCGAAGTGAACATTTCTTACAAAAACGACGCCAGATGTCACTGTAGTGTATATTTCTGCATATTTTTTTGAAAATCTAGTGTATTCATCATTTTCCTACACATTTATTCACAGGTGTCTTTAACCTGGAAGTTGCTCTTTAAGGGTTGTTTATATTTCACATCATTAATCAGAATCTGCAAAGTAACTAAAATACATGTAGTGGAGTA